ATCAGTGCTGAACAGGTTTGTAATTACCGCATCTGTTTTTGCCACAATTTCATATTAATTATATATTGTGTATCTATCCGCACAACACCTGCTTATCGAAAAATAAAAAAACTGACGTACATTATCTGTAGTGCGTTATCACTGTTTCTCCAATTTTACTATCGCCGACATTATAATTCGGCAAATGATAATGTCAGTGCGCATTAAAATGTATGAAAGAGAAGTGCGTGTGCGCGATAATATGCTTCGGTATTATCTTTTTTCTCTGCACACTTGAATACATATATCCACGCCAATTACAGATTGCTTTATGTTTTGCGCGAATTTGCAATTTACATTGTATTTATCAATTCCCGACGAAATATGTAATGATATTATATTGCATATATGATAAAACCTCTCTCTCACTCTCTCTCTTAGAATTTCCCAAGCATTCTTCATGTCACGCCAATTCCGCCGAGCAAACTAAGAAAACGCCAAAGAATGTTCGTTACAATTCCGTCGAGATTAAATGGCACTTGATTTACGCAATAAACAACGCGTGCGTTATTTCATCGCGAGGTGATGCACCGGCGATCGTCCACAGCTCGTTCCTTTATTATGCGTATTTTTCCGCGTGTGTGCGATGCGATGCGTTACTCATTAGTGACTTTACTGTCACGATTAGTCCGTAATGCGCATTGCTCTCACTTTCTTGCGTCATTACGCTTGAATTCTGCGTCGCGGTTAGATATCGGTAGATGTTATCCGGCTTTGCGCACTTCAGTGGCCGTTAGACCTGAAGCATAATATGTGATTCTCAAGAGAAGACTTTTCTAACAAAAATTTGTCACTTTTCATAGCAAGTGAGATGTGCGACAAGTGCAGTCGAACATTTATAATATATCTATCTTACCGGTCATGGTACTTTCTGATGCGACACGGCAGCGTTTCCAGCACTAATTACGAGCACTGTTTATGAAACGTTTAACGTCACACTTCGTCCAGCCATGTACACACCGTTGTACGCATACGACGGTGATATTGCGGTAAACGACGACTGCTTATTCACCTAGTTGATATTAGATGCTAAGCGGTCTAGGGAATATAAGGTGGGAGGAAGTGACCGAGAGGAGGCAGCGGGGAAAAGGGCTTTGACACTTAAAGTCGCTTTAAAGCGATTAGAAACGTGCCGTGAATTAAGCGCGTCTTAGCGTCTCCGCACAAACTCGAAACGTCGACGAGATAAATGATAATCCGCCTGCCGATGCATCGAGCGGGAGCTCAGGAAGTGACGCACAAATGCACCGTTGCCCGTGTGCATTCGCGTGGAAGCTGAATCGTTATGCATAGCATGCAGTCCGATCCTCTCAGTAGATGCGTGCAGATTCTCGCTTGCTTTTTGTTATATTTCCTTTATGTAACAATTTCAATTTATCATCCTAAAATATTTTTTTTTTTGTATTAATAAGAACATCTGATCAAGATGAGAAAGAAAAGAAAACATTATTCGGTTTGTTAGTCGAGCATAAGGTAGCTGAATCGCTAAGTATCATATTTTTAGTGGCGCCTCAAAGGGTCCACTCACACATTTACCAAACTAAATTACGTTCTTACACATATATTTCACTATATATTAATAAATATTAATTTGGAATTAAATTAGGATAAATAAACGTATATAATGTTATATACGGAGATATTATTGTTATTTTCTTATTTTTCTTATAAGTGCTTGATTCCTGCATTAGTTGATCTAATAGAGCTGCATAGATAATAGATTGAGGCATATAAATGTTCAAATATGTGTATATATATTTTGAATATTATTACTATGAATTGTGAATATTTTTATCACAACGAGTATGGTGAAATAATTCTGAAAATAGTGTGTAATGTTTGTATATTAATATTAATAGTTGTCACTTGAAAGTTGTATCATGTGTGAGATGCTCAAATTTTTATTTAGAATTAGATCTAAGTTTTTCAATTGAATTATAGTATACATAACTATATTTTTGTACGTGTCCTCGCAATTCAACTGAAGAAAACTTTTATTTAACTCTGGGTTTAAATATATCTCTAATACGATAGTAATTTTTTATTAAAATCTCACATATAGTTTAAAAGATATTAAAGACAAAGGAAATAATATGCTAACCTCAAGAAATCACGCGTATAAAAAGTAACAATTTTAGTTGAAAATACTTCTCGAATAATAGCTCTCAATCTTTCTCTAGTTGTGGTTAGATAATATTTCGCTATACGTACGCGTAGTGCAAGTTCCATCGAAATTCTCAGGAAACTCGCTTCGTGATGCAACTACCTTAAGCAAATAAAATTTGACCGATTATCCCGCAATTAGAATTCGCGGCTCGATTGCGGCGCGAAGCAAACAAAACTGCCACGTTGCTAATCAATCGCTCCTTTCGCAACGCACATTCCGAATTGCAAATCGATCAAAGGACTTCCGGTCCTTCCTAGTCCGATGAGTCGATAGGGCCGGATGCGCCGGTGCGGCTCGCAGTTCGCTGGCGACCTTACGCAACCGCACGTATTCGCACGTATACACGTATTTGCCGCACGCACACGATCGCACGCCTCCGCCCGCGTATCGTCTATTCGGATCGAGGGACGAGCCGGCCATAGAAAGACGAGGAAACCACGGAGGACGGAACGGAATAGACTACGCGCTGCCGTGTCGTAGTGGAAGCGGGGACTCTGGCTTACGTAATTTCTTCTTCTCGGAGTCGGGCTTGGGTGAGCGCGTATGCGTGCGTGCAGGATGCACGCACACGCACACGCACCGCCGAAGGCGCGTGACTCTTGCGTATCCATTATTTCGCAGAAATCTGACAACTGGTTCGTTAACGCGTTCGCCGCCACGGCGACCTACGCCACGGGCCTATTGCGCCATTTCGGATGCTGGGACCTAAAGATGAACTTTGTCAGCTGTTTGAAGTGCCGCCACTATCTCGCGAAGTACTGAATGTATCGTCTTCAGTGTGGAATATTTTTTACTTCTTGAAACTTGGAAATATTTCCGATGACGAAATATGTTATAAATTATTTTACTTATTCTTTGAAAAATATATGGTATGTGTGTGTGTGTTTGTGTGTGTGTATGTGTGTGTAATGTTAAAATCTGCTGTTGATGACAAAGCGTTTCAAAAATTTCTTTAAGCAACGATTATCATTGTTAAGCAATTACTTTTTAATTAAGAAAAAATTATTTTTTCTTGTTGTGGAAATGTGATGCATATATAACTCTCTTTGAGAATCGTATTTCGTAGTATATCTATAAAATTGTGTCGATCTAGAGAGGAAGACGTGTTTACAATAACAACAACAACAGACGAGGACTTTAAACTATTAGTCGTGCCCGGGTGACAATACAGTAATCAATCATTATCGTTGCAATTCATATCACGTATGACTAGTATCCTATGCGATTCTTAAAAGAGCACGTACTGGTTCGCCTAGCTTTCTACCGTTCGATGAATCCGATGAGCGTACCAGGATTCCAGTCATTCAGGAATTTATACCGCATACAATGCCGCCTCATTATTCCGCGTTTTTCAGGCCTCGCTTAGGAGTTATTCTCGCAAGAACCAGAACCTGGCTTCCACAAATCTCACTTACAATTATTCCGGAATACAAAAGCACGAGTGCAAAAAGTTACTCACTATCTCGATCGTATTTTGATACATTACGAACATCTGAAACATTCTTTTTTTTCGTACGAGAGTTGAGTCGCGAATGACACACATACACATACGCGCGCGCGCGTGTGTTAATGTTAATCTTTCCTCCGTAAATATAAACTTTTCTTTTTCTCTTTCCACATTTATATTTTACCACTTAAAACTTATTTATATTAATGCACTAATACGCATCTAAATCCTAATATTACCAACTGGCGCACGAATCATCTTGTAAATTCGCTTATTTTGATCAATCAACCTTCCCAAAATAGACGATTCGATACGTAATGGTAAATGTATAAATACAAGATGAAATAATGAGGTCTTTTTATGAAAGGAAAGAGGAACACGAGAGCGATCGGTAGCCGAGACGAAGATGTAACACGTTCTTCTAGAACCACCTGTAGCTGCTGGTGCTCTTTCCACGTGTTCTGTTCATGTTCTGCGGCTTCATGACACGCAATGTCGTTAATAACAACGCGCCCGCTCGCACGTTATTGAGTCTGATAACACTGTCGGTCTTGAACCGGCCATCAATATATTGAATAAAATGCAACCCAACTACACCGGTTCGCGGATCGTTCAACTCCGACATATGTAGCCATTGGAGCTGTGCAGCTCAGATTGGCAACGTATTGCTTCATTTCTTAAGATCGATTATATCCAATCGTCGTGTTAAAGAAGAAAACAAATCATCTGATTATTTCAATATGCCGATACGTTTGAGGATGCGGGCACGCTCAAATTGACTTTACGAATACATATGGATATTGTAAGGTATCATAATATTAGAAGCCCCACATTATTTACTCATACATTCATGTAGACTATGCTTGAATAAATTTAGGATATACAAGTAATAATGTTTTACCCCAACAGGGTTTCCCCCCAATCATCATTATTCAACAAGAATCTCAGTGTTGTTGGCACTTGAAGAAATCGTACACCTGTTCTCTCCTCAAGATTAAGGATATAATAAAATTATAATATCAGAAGCTCTCCGCATAATTTATTCATGTGTGATGTAATCTATGCTTGGGTAGATTTAAGACGAGTGAGTAGTAATATTTTAGCAATAGAGTTCCCCCAATTATCATTACTCAGCAAGAACCTCAGTGTTGTTGGCACTTGAGAAACTATTGCTTTGCTAAATGATAAATTGCAGAAAGTTATGATGGATCGCAGTCAGGCTCGAATGCGTCGTGATGCTACGCATAATCACGTTGTCCCATTATCGTACGTCCATAAGAAATCGGTGGAAATAGCTGAAATAATTTCTCGAGTTTCCTAACAAAGAATTTATAGCAGTACAAAGCAGGTAGGGAGGAACGAAGGCCGGAGGAAGACAAGCGTGACTTCGCGTATCCTCCGAACGACCGAGGGTCGCGGAGGCTGCAAGGAGGAAAATCCGTGGAAGACGTAGGTGGCGGTACTGTGATTACGCGAAAAACCTTCTACCTGCGGAGTTAAGATGGACCGACACGCTCGAAGGAGTCTCTGACGCGTCGCATCCGCAACTGTGCTCTTACGCAACGTTCCGCGCGGCACGTTTCTCGCTCCGCATTATTGTTACTTTCGTGCCTGTCGTCTGTTCTTCCAAGTGTCGTCGTCGTCGTCATCGTCGTCGTTGTCGTCGTCGTTGTCGTCGTCGTCGTCGTCATCCACTTGTTGTACCTAGAATCGCGATTACTCAGCAGTACGTGGTATGGTGTCGGAAACGTCGTGATATATGCGTCGCGATATTATTAATGTCAGATAATGACATCTAGTTATTATTTGTCGTATTCCTTGGGGTTGCAGAGAGGCTCTCACGAGGTCGACCTTGAGGAAGATTGAGTTCAACACGGTGAAGAGGGAAACTGGCGCCAAGAAGATCTCGCTACAGCCACTCATTATTTCAGTCCGCAATGTATAAACATAAGTGTAATCGTGTTATATTTTCACGTGGCATCTATCCACGCGTGCTTCAACGTTGATCGAAATTATTTTAGGAGACTCGGCTACATAATCGCGAGTCGGTTGAGAGCCGGCAAGACGCGAGATACGAGTCAAAGAAGGAAGAAGAGAAGCTGCCGGCTCGCCTTATACGAGGCGCGAATCTCGCGGCATGAAATCGCCGCGACGAGAGAAAACCTACGGGGCTTTATAATGGGTCGGGGCCGGGTGGGTTCTCAGGACGAGCCACGGGGAGAAAGAGAGAAAGAGAGAACAGGTGCGTGACGTCAGGTGGGCAGTACTTCAGGGCCGCGCGAATGAGGCCCCTCGCTACTTTTCACTGAAACAGATCGTCGGTCAAACGGCGCCGCCGCGTGCACCTCAACGTGCTGCAACCTCATCTACGGTGTACTCTATTTCTTATATCCGCATTAACTGTGATATCAGTAGCGTAACGCAAATAAAATTGTTATAAAATTATATTGACATGTGGATTTTAGATGAGCAATCAAAAAAATGAAAAGTTATCTCTCTACTCAATTCTGATCTCTTAAGAGAGTTTATAAACGCTAAGAACATAATTCTTAACTTTGAAAGATACTTATACTATGGTAGATGTTAGTTTAATGTTCTCAAACTCAATCAACTAAAATCCTCTCTTCTTTCATTTTGTAAATAAGAGAAATCTAAAGGTCATTAATATGATTTCCAGAATTATTCAAGTAATAGCAATAAAGAGGAGCACATATTAGTAAATTTCAAAAATAAGTCATTGATATACCGTGAAAACGATTTATTTTGATCTGCTTCGGCATCTGTGTGACACCACCTTAAGGGTAGTACAGGCAGGTCGAGGACGCAGAGCGAAGAATGCTCGTCGTAGTATCGCGCGGAGGGATAAGCGGATACGCGAGTATATAGCTTGGTGGGGGAAGGAGGCGAAGCTGCGCTTGTAAATTATGTATGAGAGTGTACTCACGGGGGATTACATAATGGCTTGTTTACGGTCGAATGTAAACAGCGATCAATGGAACGGCCGCGATCGCCCATCGGCTCGCCACAGGATCCGCTCGCGACTTATATTCCGGATGGCCGTGAATTACGCCAGGCAAAATCGAGCTGGGGCTCGGATCGATGGAAAATGCATCGTGCGGATCTTGGCTGATGGCTTTATTAATTATTTATGTCGATCGGCCTTTCCCCCGAGCGAGCCGACACTTGGACGCGACACGCGACCGCCACTCGACCGCGATCTTTTTCTGTTCTTCTTTTGTCTTTCTTTTTCAACTCTTTTTACTAAATTTTTATTATATATTGAAGTTGTAATATAAAACATTGTAAAAATAACAAATTTCACACGATCTACCGTGTATATCTACCGAGATATAAAACACGCTCAAATAATTGCAATAATTTTGTGGCGAAAAGACAAACGTGCGTAACATTTTCAAAACAAAATATAGCAATTTCGGTTATAATTCTGTATGCTTCAAATTACAAAAATTCTATCCTTTACTAGGATAGTTTCTCCGCGTAGTGTTTCTTTTTTGAGTTGGGAAAAATTTTTTTAAGAAACCATGTAGTTACTTTGAGATTACTTGACTTGCTTCCCATTTAATAATCATCGATTAAGCTGTTACGTATAAAATTACTCACTTAACTAAAAAATAATCTTTTGTTTTGGTGTCATTAGTGTCGTCAGTCTTGAGTAGATTACGGAAGATGAGCTTCGCAGATAAGGAATTCTTTGATAGCCGTAACACTTTCTAACGCTATATCTCGGACACAAGCAAACGTGGCGGCACGTTAAGATTGCAAATTACATGAATTAATATGCCGGTTTCTGCAGTGCTGCCTACTTAGAGTTAATGAGTACTTAACACAAAGAAATACGTACACATAATCATTAACGAGGGCTAATGATGCGTTATTTTGTCGCAACATTCCAAAAAGGGAAAACACACGCACTGATGACAATAGATCAAACTGGAAATTCATCAACCTTTATCTCTTCTTTTTATGTCAATATCCATGTTATTCAACTCGAGTATACACTCTCAATTCGACTCAATTCAATTTTTATACAAATTATAATTATTTCCATAAAATTGATATATTATAGAATATAGAATATCAAAATTTCAATTAACACATAGAAGAATTCTTTCATTTTGGGCAAGACAGAGAGTTTGCAAACTCACCTCAAAACTTACGAACAACCTTTCTGTTTACAAGTGAACAAGTGTAAAAGAAAAGTCATGAATAAATACTCATGTAGAAATGTGGAGAAAGAACGCCAGTTTTGATTTAAAAAATTTGAAAAGTTTGAGGAAAATATACTCTGGAATATAGTGAAGTTAAAATATCAATGCTTAACCACATACTTAACTCAAGATATTTTTATTATTTTAGTTTTTAAATATAAATATTTAAATTATCCATATGAAAAAAAAATATATATACATATATTATATGTTCTCTGAAAGTTTAAATATTTATATTAATATTCATATAAATATTCATATAAATATTCAT